GAATACTGGAAGTTTGCTATGAGGAATTTCAACTCAAGTCTAACATCTGAATGAGTGAAAAAAGCGACTAATGAAGGTTGAGAATCGACAGTTCTGATTTGAGGTCATCATTATTCCGAATAGGATACGTGAAATAGTCAATAAAACATGATTGTAATAGGACACCAGGGTTGGACATGGCCGGATAACCTTACCAAAAAAGACTCACGTTAAAATATAAAAGGAGGGGTGTGCGATAGACTTACCTCCTTTTGGTGCATCCTGGGCAATGTATACCCATACGGAAAAGTCTATAAACTGGCAGTTGAATCTGAATTTAAACTACCATGACCTCATTGTATGCCACACTCGATCGCTTTAACAATACTCATCTTACCTTTTCTCTGACTTGGTGTCTATCTGCCTCTTTTACATCATTAAATTAATCTTATGTTCCTCCTCTCCACTTTTCGCGACTTTGATGTTCCTCCCCTCTGTGAAGCCCGAAGTCAACTAAAGGGCTAATGATAACTATCAAAATGCCTGCAATTTGAAATAAATATAATACAAAAGGAAGAGTGGAGAAAAAGCAAATCACCTGATATGCCATATTGAGAGCGGCTCGGTTGGTAAGAACAAAGAGTGAGGCGAAGCGTTTTGAACGAACAACAACATATTCGATTGTCGGATGCACCCAACAGTTTGTTTGACCGTACATCGTCTCTGGTCGAAGAGTTGCAGACAACAGATACACCTTTTCATTCTTCCTCGCAACTTTTCTAAAACGAATTGTTTCATTCATTTACCAATAACGAACTCTTTAAAAAATTGTCGTATAAACTTATTGAAGAATGAATTTCAACATTCATAATAAATAGAAAAGAGCTCTTGAAAATATACTCCACTCTTCTTTAATCCCAAACAGCACAGCTAGAACGGTGGCCAATTAGGCATAATCACTTGAATCAGTGACATGTCTTGAAAGACATGTAGGGAAACCATTATGTAATTAGAACTAACAAACGTAAAAAGGCATTTCAAACCCAGTCGGTGAAATTTAAGGCAACAATAAAGTATAATAGCTGTGTTTTCAATTATATAAAAAATGAAATAAACCGCGGTATTCACGATTGGACTTACTGTATCTTCTCTGGGAGGTTTGATACTATTTCCAGCTTAATAATGGTGTACTCCATGGGGCAAACACCCTAAAAATGGCAAAACAACCGATAATACGCACAAGCATCTAGCTATAAGACATGGAAATTGACGCACTTCACCAACAACCCGTTCGTGATCCATACATGGCTGATTGTCCTTAGGCGAAAAAATGGTGTAACGTTTGCCATATGCAATCTTATTACGTTTTTTCAAGTGCAGAAATTGCCATCTGACCATTGAATCGTAATAAGGGTTCGCATCCGTGGTAATAAAGGAACGTCTCCAATCGGTTTTGAGGCCAAATCGCTTGAGATCGCGCATGCACCAATCGGGAAAGTATGTTAACCAGTAATAAGGATCAACAAATTTGGGAATTTCCGATTCCGGAATTCCCATTGATTGCATAATCATCCACTGGTATTTTACGCCTCCAGTCTTAGCTACTGCCTTGCTCTTCTTGCTCTTTGACTTATCTACATGTTCAGGCATGTCAACATGCTCAGCAGCCTCTTTGCTAGTCACAGGAAACTTAGGTGGACAACCATAGAGTTCAATTTCACGGGCTAATTTATCAGCAGAGGCCTTAATAGGGGTACCGGTACAATGAAAACCCATTGGCCAAAGAACGGTTTTTCCTTTGAGAGATTGATATCCGGCAGCATATTCCGCCTTTGTAATAGAGAAAGCGTGGCCAACATGCAGACGTCCATTCATGTAAGGATACGGAAATGTGATGAAATACGCTTGCTGGTTGCCGTTTACGTTGGCAGCGTCAACCTCGAAAAGATGCTCATCAGCCCATAGCTGCTGCACCTTGGCTTCAATGTTAAGTAATTCTGATAATTTAGCTGTACCCTTGCGTGCCATTTCTACAAATAATGCTGAGAATATGACAAAAGGGAACAAAATATGAATGTAGTGCAATAAAGTAAACGGCGAAATAAAATGAAAGAAAAAATAAATTCAGGATTTAGTTGGATTTCATAATTTTAGTAACAAATAGATTAATGATATATTGAAACACCCAACCGACATGCGAGAGTGAAAACCACGGAGCTTGGCTAATTAGGTTATTAGTACCAATCAGGCCAAAGAGTACAATTAATGAAGGTTGACGAGGTGTCTACCTACTTTTGGTTTAGCACACTTGCTTGTCAATGAGAAAAATATGCAAAATGAAAAACTACCATTTTCAAAACAATGTTTCTTTAAAACTAACATATAAGCTTATTGATGGAAAACTATAAGCAAAGTCCTTAAATGGTATCATCAAACAAATTATTTATCCGCTTAAGTCGGAAATCGGATTCTTGATTTCGGATCAAAACAAATTTATATAAAATACAAGAAACAGCAAAAAAATTTTTCCTGCATATATGAACTTCTAATTTAATTAGCTCAAAATAAAAATTTCCTACAGTTTATTTGTGTCAAGCGTATAAAATTTTTGTATTGTTCCGGTTTAAATAGCTCTTGAAAACCAAAATTTTATTTTGTATAATTACTCGAATCGCTCTCTCTGAATATAACAACCAATTTTTACGATTTTTAACCATAAATTCCGTTTCTTAAGCTAGAGACTGAACAATTTATTTATAACACTAATTCAACTGAAGAAAGGAACTCCATATTTCATTCGTGTCAGTTACAGTGAAATATGAACTTTTGTTTACTACTGCTTTATTACGAAAAAAGAGAAAATTTTGAAAATTTTATTGAATCTAACGTTAGCTCCATCCGAATCCTAGCCAAAATAAACACGCTCGAGTTAGCTCAATGATCAAAAACTATTTGCAGTCAATGATAGGTCAAAGTGTAGCGTGGATCAGACTCCGTAAAATAAGGTTATGATTCCATGAAAATATCAATCTTAAAAACAAGAAGCCTAACTAAAATAAACTAAAACAACTATTTGCTATTCCCATACTGTGCGCCCTAAACTCCCTATTGCTTCATCCTTAACCAAATACCCTTGTTCCAAAGTTCAGATGGTGCCCATCTGAATACAGATATTCCTGTGTCAATTAGGTATCAATTGTCTTCGAAAGATTGTAATAACAAGACTTTATAACGATTGAAAGTGAGAGGCTGTTGAAGTAGTATGCCCTGTCTCTTCGATATTGTTCGTGCAGCGTAGGCATATCCATTGACACTTACGTAATTTGGAATTGCTGACGTCTAATCAAAGTTAAGTTGTGTAATATCCGTCACAAATTTATCAATAAGATGATCAGCTTGTTCTTCTAACCAGGTTTGGGCAGGAAGATGTATAACTTGAGGTGTAACGGTTGCCAAATTGATAGAAAGTGATTATATGGATACGAAGAAAAACGTAGGAGCGCCTAAAAAATCGTGATTTTTGACAATAAATACAAGTACCTTCAGCTTTTCGAACCTGACTTCCTATTAATATTTACAATTGTGGTGCCTATCGGACGGTACTTTTAAAAAACTATCGCTTATATTTTGTGAATGAGAAGGAACAATATAAAATAAATAGTGCTTATTATTATGGAAATTTAAAGCTCTAAATTGCTTTTTATCGGTGGCAGCACACCTGGGAAAATATTTTAGGTTTAATCGAATGAGAATGGACACGTCCGCTCACTAGATTATCGATTACTGGGTGACGACACCAAGGAAATTATGGTTGAAATGATTGGTCAACCAATTATCAATACTTTATCTCATATCCGCTCCTATATAAGCTATTTTATTTTCTTAACAAAAAATAGGTTATTAATCTCGAACCGGTGATGCTCTTAGATCCAATCAATAAAACGACGACATGGGAATGAAAGCAAGTAAATATTGAAATAACTTCAGTAAAAAACGCCAAATGTGCAAGTAATTATAAGGATTGTTAAACAGTATACATACATATGAATGAATTTGCCTAAAACAGCAAGCAAATGCATAAAGAAGCTGCGAATAAGTCAAGTGAATAAGGAGAGAGAGAGAGAGGTGTTCAAAATGGCAGTATGTACAGAAACAGGAAATGTTCAAACGCTGAAATATTACCCCACGCGCGAAATAGATGACGAAGGACTAATTTCAGAAGATTCCCCAACACCAGGGCTGGAAGTAGAAACAGTTGCCATGACGATAATCTCACTATCGCCCTCCTCACCTTCCCCATCGGAACGTGAGTTTTCTTCTCTTGCAGCTTCACGACCATCACCAGATTGGCTGGTACCTGGTGATCTTGAATCTCGATTAGTTGGAGAGGCGACTCGAGAGGGTCTATGAAGCCACAAGAGGCTGCCCGGTTGAGAGGTTGGTCTTTCATCCTCCAGGGAGGGAGAACCATTCGGCTCTTCTTCCCCTGCCTGAAATTCATTGCCTTCAGCACTTAGTGTGGAAGATGGAGAAGAGGAGTCGTCACCATCGTTCTGAGAGCTGCCTGAAGATTCTCGTCCACGAAGAAATACCCTCCGGTGCTGAAGATCAGCATTCTCCACTTCCAGAATGAGACCAAGACCCGGGGGAGGAGCAGTGAGAGGAATCGGAGATGAAATAGGAATATCGTTATCGTCAGAATCAACTTGATCTACGTTCTGATTCTCCGATCCTTCTCGATCACCTGGGGTACGAAAAAGAATGAATCCTCCTCTCTGCCTTGTGTCGTCATCGGCAGCTCCGTCTGGATTTTGATAGTTATTATCAATATCATTAGGTCTGCCTGTCCCATTAGGTGGTAAGGTTGATACAGTCTCAACTTGTCTAAAGGAAACATAGAAAAAAGATTCGTGCATTTTTCATGCTTGTACCCAAAAAATAGTTAAATTCTCTCAAACCACAATTATCTCTCAGTTAACTCTGGAATGCGAATAACAAAGTTAATCTATTACATAGACAACATTCGTGACGCCCCCCCCCCTCCCAAATCAGACTCAACTGAGCGGCACATTCACCTTGATTCACTTGATTAAGTAGGCTAAATGACAGCTAAAAGGACTTTCCTCCAATAAAACCTGATCATCACTACCTTATCTTCTCCATCCTGTTGAATGTTATTGTACTGCAGAAAATAGAAGCAAGTCTGCAGAATAGCTAGGGACGAAATTTAGAGAACTATTACTGTGGAGGTATCCTAGATTTCCGAAAATACCTTCGAAATATACCAGGCTGTTGTCTACTACCCCATATTCAAAATCACAATAACCAAATGACTTACATGGCTAAAGGTTCAGGAGTGAGGAAAGTTCCAACAATTTGGCTAGTTCTTTGCAATGTTCTTCCCTCTTCAACTACAACACCAGACGATACATCATCAAATAGAAATGTCTCTTGCTCCTCCTCTGTTTCCTCTTCTTCCCCATTCGATACAACCTCGGTGTTTTCTTCCGTTTCAATTCCATCCATCTGAATAACTGCAGTAAGAGTACAATGAGCCTCCTGAATGGGCATGACTCTCTGCTGGCTTCCGGCTAACGGACCAGATGGTGCCCCCGTCGACTCAGGTAGACTTTGGTTCTGATGAGCACGTCGATTTTGACTCTGTATAGCCTGACGATTTGCTAAGGACTGGGGAGAGGAGTGTCGCGATGATTGGGTGGATGGTCTAGTTACATTTCCTTGAAGTAGTGGGGTCACGATTTGTACGACCTGAGCTGCTGGAACGCTGTTGCCACCAGCACCATCAGTAATATTTGATATGGTGGCAGTTGCTATGGAGCTACGAGGGATGCGATTTGAGGACTGCTGAGTGGCAGGAGGGGGACCAGGGGACTCCGCACAGGAGAGAAACCGAACCACGCACATTCCTGTGTCACAACGCTCATTGTGCATTCGACTCTCTTCGTAAAGGGTCCAGGTGTTATCGATAGGATCAAAGGCCTCCACGGTATTGAGAAGACGGTTTCCGTTGTACCTGAAACAGTAACCGTACATGTAATCTCTTAAATATTTAGACTAAATATAACTAATAAGAAACCAAGATCCTAGAGATATGGTCTGTGCACAATTGTTGACTCAAGGCTGGACGTAGAAAATAGAAATGCAGTAATTCCAAGGCATTTTGCTGCCAGTTAGAGGAAGATAGAAATAGTTTTTGAAGATCACTCAATTGTCAAGAACAATAGATAGACACATCAGCTGGCATATTGACTAAACTTATAGGACCCCATAAGACCACCGTGGCTATGCATAGCCCTACTGGGGAAACAATTTAGCCCGTACGGAAGCATGCAAGCTGAGTGGATCATAGGAGAAGCCACTTATGTATACATGCATGCTCGAAAATGCAATTCTTGATAATAAAGGAAGAAACTTACCCAGCGGCAACATAGACTCTTCCAGCAAGTTGGCAGGCTCCAACATAGCACCGAGGCACATTCATATTGGCAACTAGTGTCCACTGAGCAAGACGTGTGTTATAGGCCTCCACGGTATCTAAATGAAGAGGGCCTCTGCCCTCTGGACCACCATAACCACCGCAAACGTAGAGTGTATCGACAATCACAGCACAACCGGCTCCTGACCGTCGCATGTACATAGGTTTGCACTGACTCCACGTTCCTCGACGCAGATCAAAGCTAAAAAAGGAAATGAAAGCGAGAGATAAACATTTATTACATTTCAGATAAGGAAGAGAGCACTTACGCTTCCATGCTATTGAGAAGTTGAAAGCCATCATATCCACCAAGACAGTAGAGTGTATCGTCCGCAACAACTAGACCAGCCCCTTCCCTTGCAGTATTCATCTCTTCAAGAACTCGCCACTCATCGATTTTCGGGTGATAGACTTCGAGCGCTCTAAGTCTTGTCTGGCCATCGAAACCCCCACAGACGTATATCAAACCTGGAATGTCGAAAAATGGACGATCTATTAACATTTTCAGCCATAGTCTTATTTTTTTACACTTCGCATTAATGCCTCTGTTAACTCATTCAGTTATTGAACAATCGAATAGTTCTTAGTCGACAAGTCAAAAATCGCAACCATTTGAGAAAGGTAGTTGAGGCATCCATATATCAAAAATGCCATTACTTTAAAGGATTAATACTACCGTGCATAAAGAATAACATTAGAACTACATAAGAATAACCTCACCCTTATGAGTGCAAGCAGCGGAGAGACCTCGTTTGTAGTGCATGGGGGCAAGCCATCTCCAGCCATCCTCCCTCTGTGCTACATCCAGTAGGCCCACAGTATTAAGACGTTCACCTCCATCAAAACCACCGATGACATAGACACAAGTGCCCAAAGAGCAGGCCGCAACGTAACGGTAGCTTATGGGCAGATTCTACGAATTTAATCGGTAACAAAAGTCATTAGGACAACTTACTGGTAACTCACTCCACTCTCTGGTACGTGGATTGAACATTTCTACGGAATCGGAAGGACTTTGATAGGAGCCGAATCCACCTATCACTACAAGGTATTCGTCACCTCCATCACGTTGATGAAAACGTCGTTGACGCATCTGTGATCGGAGATCGGGTCGAAGGTGGAAACGCTTGGCTTCGTCTACGAGATCGCGACACTCAAGCGAATTTCGAATAAGACGCTGAAGGGTATAATGAGATATTCTGTAAAGTTATTTTAAATTTTACACGGAAATGATTTTACAAGGCAACTTTATATTGATGCTGATTGGTATGAGTGGTCAAACGACTTATCTCATGTACACCATTTAGGTTCGAAAATATGCACTTTAGCCCGACAGAAGTGCCCACTATAACACTAGCTCAAATGCTGGTGTATACTATTCTCGATAGCTGGACAAAACTGTAGCTTTGAGAAACTGCCAGTTGGTTTATACCTCAATATTTTATAAAACATCTTACCGATTTTTCATTAAATACATCATAAATTAATAAATATAATATAGATTAGTTAATAAGAACTATTATGAACATTTTCATCACAAATACTAAAGCCCGCAAGTTGTACGTTGCCAACATGATTTGTGAATTCCGATAAAATTATCCTGAGAAGAGGATGTAATCTGGTTAGACAAAAATCCGCAGAATCTGACTCGTTCCAAGTAGGGACAAAACGGCCAGAGCTCTAGATTTGGACTTTTGAGTAGTAGAATATTTTGCCGAATATTATTTTGCTGCCTTTTTAAAATGCGCTCAAGTTGTCTAAGCATAAAGCATACTACGCCTCGTTTTAAGAATTAGCCCCACCCCTTTCGTTGTACATGTGGTGACACAACCGGTGATCAATGGCTGGAAGCCATCTGAATTATGGCAAAGAATAACTTCCACCATGATGATTCGCCTCACCGTTCGCACCGTAATGGAAAATTATGGTCGCTATCCAATACCCTCTGAACACTGCGAAAACAGACAATCTGTCATGAACTGGAGAATTGTTCGATCTGCTTGCTTTCGCATGGTAGATTTCCTCCAACTTTTGCCAAGACAGTAAGCCCAACGTGCGGAATAAGGGATAACTTGATGTTCATATAGTTCAAGCAGCATATTCCTCTAGTCAGGTGGACCAAATTCGCCCAAACTATGGTGGTTTTCAGATGTGTGTGTGTTTCCTCCGAGAGCCATGCAGTGCCTCCGACCGCATTTTTGGTGAAGCCTAGGTTGAATGCAGTTGCCTACCTTCAATTTCTGCCCACCGTAATAGTTAAGTCTGGGACAGCGAGAGTGGCTAATAACAGATTCGATGCATAGCGAAACCAGGGTAATCGGCTGGCCCCCTGTCGATTTTTACAGAAATATCGAGCTCAATGTAGTTTTTACTTCCAAACTCTCCACATTTTAACCCCGCGAATTGTTATGCACACAAAGGGCTCTTGTAAAGACTTGTTGATGCGCCGGTACCAGAACAGCCGAATTAATGGACAGAATTAAACCACTTGCTGAGCCAGGGCCGGATTGATATTGTAATAGAGCGGAACCATTTGGCAACATTGAAATCTTCTCGTCTATTTAATTTCTTTGAAGTATATTAAATCTTGTAGCTGTCACGTTTATTCCGAACACCAGGTACATAGACTGGCCATAATGACAGAAAACGTAATAGCCTCAATGGAGAAGTACTATAGTTTAAAAACTTAAGCCACATTGGCCAAAATTCATAAGCTGTTCACACTGCCCTGTACCAACATTATTACTAGGTGCCAGAATTTTAGCATAAAGCTAATTACTCTACCTAAACATTGGTCCTAAAGAGTTTTCCGAAATCCATGTCAGAAAAGGAGTAATCTAAAGGGTAGAATAACGTAATTGAGGCATTGGCCACTACTATCTTTCAAGGCAGGGACCGAATTTGACATCCTAACTATCAAGATGAAAATCAGTTTTTTCATGCTTTGACAACTGCTCGATCTATCCATATATAGACGTTATCTACATTTTAGAATTTACAAGCACGTAAACAAATTGGGGCGAACATGAAATCTCTTGAAAAAGTAGTTAATCAAATTGGAATGTTAAGCTAGTTGGAAAAGTCATTAAATCGCCCATAGCACTGGATGATGTACGAATAGGATGTTGTTGTATCAAAAGGTCCATTTGTAAATCCAAAACATGCGTAAATTAAAAAAATGTTTTTCAAGACTCTCACCGCAAAATTAGTAAAGCATATGTAAAATGAAATAAAGAACAAAGCCTTACCTCATTGTCAACGACGTCAGTGAGGAAACGGACGGACATTATGGCAAGTCGAACGTAATTGAGAAGATTCGGGAGATGGACGGCTCGATTCGGTTCATCGTAGTACACCCATCGAAACACGGCATTATAGACTGTCTCCTCGCTTTCAATCTATTTCGAAGAAAATAAGAGCTATATCAAAAAAAGCATCCCGAATATCATATCTAAACCAAAACACTATATAGACGCTTCAAGAAGGACTAGATGAATTTAATCAATAGCATATTTCAATAGATAAGCGGAAAATCTTCATTAAACTACAATGTTCAAATGCATTAAGAAGTCTTCCAAAATAAATGAAGTAAAAGTAAAGGCAAGCCAACACTCAATTGGATGATTATTTTCTCAAAATAGATCATAAAAATCCGCGAATGAGAAGCCGAAGGAACAACTCAGTCACTTTAAATGTCGTAACCATGTTCAATAAGCTAATTGATACAAGGCCAATTTATAAGAAAAGCCCGACTTCCAAAACATTAAACAAGATCTAGATGAAAAATAAGAAACTGGTATTTTAGACATTGTGGGGAAAATGATTAAACCAATAGACGGATGGCGTTAGGCATTGAGAGAAAAAGATTAAATGGAGAAGTAAAAAATACAAGAATAAAATTTTTCCTTGAAAAGATGCAAAGTACCACGGAAAAATAGTCCTTGTCGGGGCGAATCACAAATTCAACAGATTCATCAGTAGAATGGTGGGGAGATGCCACAAAACAACAAAAGAAAACTGAATTGATTTAATGCAAACGATAAAAAATTTCACCACTCACATGGAGATCCTCACGACTAAGAAGTTCGATCAATTCATCAGCATTCATGAGAAGAAATTCCTCAAATTCGAAAACAATTTCAAAGTTATGTGCAGCATAGTTCTTTGCAAAAACTTCTAACTCAGTACAACTGTGCAGCTCAGCGAATCGTCTGATTCCAAGAACGTTTGAAGCCTCTACTTGACCGAAAAGAAAGGATGAGCAGACGCTTTTGACACCTTCCATTTGAACAAGACTTGCTGCTGGAAGCAATTCTTGAACGTTCTCCATACTCACTTTCACCTGACCAGTGTAAACAAAATCCAACAACGCTTCCATTACGTCTGCTGAAACCGACTTTAGTTCTATTTCCAGCTGCTCTGATTCAGCCATCTAAAACAAAACAAATTAATTAATCTCGATTTCGAAAAATGA